CTTATTTGCCTGCTTTGAGCTTTTGCCATCTGAAGTTCTCTGCATTCAAAAACAAAGGATAAATTTAAAAAAAAAAAAAACTCAGACGGGGAAAGCTAAACAGAAACTGATAATCAATCCAACCAAGGCAGTGTGTTTCTGGTATTGAAGTTGAGATTGATCAAGCATTTGTTACATCCACCATACTAAGAAGCTTGGATGCCATTAGCTATAGAGACTAAATTTCCCAAGATTCCCGCAAGGCAAGTAGTGGATTGTTGTCTGGATATCTACTTTGCGAATCATAGTTTCCCAAAGAGGAAAAAAGGAGAGCATGGGTCTTACCAGTTTAGAATTAGGCTTGGATTTGTTGGCATTATGGTTTTCAGAAGAAGGCTTGTCCTTTGTTTGTTTTTTGGCATTGGCAATTCCAGTCACAACTTCAAATATAGTAGGAACCTCATTGATCATGTTGAACAAGCGCTTCCTGAACTAGAAAAGTTAGCACGATATACAGACAGACACACGAGGAGAGGAGGAGCAGATGTTTTGAAAGCATGAATCCATTACCTGTCAGCCTTGTCGAAAGCAAATCTTGAGCCGAAGTAAAAGGAGACAGAGAGTAACCAAGTGTCACTGTGAATAGCAACAAGGGAAAGCCACTCCTTCTCGGAGAGTCCATCTCTAGCGAAGTTAATGCCGAGAGCTGGCTCTGGAAGCTCTGGGGGCACTTCCTCAGCCGGTAAGTTAACTTCCCACTGTTCGTTCGGTAACCCGTACAAGCAAAGGTTCTCCTTCTCTGAAATCAGATTGGAACAAACTCAAAACCCTAAAATCAAGGCAAATCAGAGAGGAATAAAACCCAGAATTGGGGAAAGAGAAACCCTAACCAGGGTCGCATTGCTGGTAAAACTCTTGGACGTCTGCAGCAAAAAGAAAGAAGCGAATCCATCAGATCGGAGAAGAAAAGAAAGGCAGAAAGAGTCAAAGACAAAATTGGATACCGGTGGTGAGAGCTTTGACAATGGCAGCTCGACGGCCCTTGAAATCCCTGAAAACTTCTTCTACAGTTCGAGGGCTGTAGACACCAGCTGCTCCTTCTTCCA